TTTAATTTAAGTTTAATAATGAAATAATTTATTTTTGGTTTAATAATATAATATTTTATAAAGATAATAATTAAGTATTCTGGTAGAATTCAATGATTATCCTAATTATATTTTAGATTTTATATATTTAAAATGAGATGTTTATCCTGTTTTTGATTATGTTTATCTGTAGTTAGTTACACGAATTCAGATATGGRGCTTTAATAAGTTGTACTTACGCACAATCTACTTGCAATCTTGAGTTTTAAGTAATATGCATTAATAAACAATACTTTACGTATAAAAAATGGTTTTTAAGAGTTTTTGTCAAATGTTTTATAATATAGTGTAGATTAATTAAATAGTAATATTTTAATGTGTGTTTCACCTCTTAATTATATATGTAATTTATGAAGGTGTCAAAGTGCAACAAAAAAAGATGTTTGTAAACCGTATCCTCAATCGTAGGCACCAAATATGTAAATTAGTTATAGCTCCACAACAATATTTCCTCAACTGCGGATATGTTTTTCCAAATTTACATATTTGGTTCTCGTAATTGTAAACCTGGTTCAGAAACTTCTCTTTTCCTTACATTTTGACTTCTCTGAAAATTGCAGACATGCCAATTGCGGAACTATGACTATTTTCGTTATTTTGATAAAGAAATGGCTAAAAGATGAAACCAAATGGTCAAAATGGCTATTTTAATTAATTTTTCTTTTATCATATAATAACTATAAATGATATAAATAAAGTAATACTTAAGTAATTTAATTTATTAACATGTTTATACAATGTCCATACACATAAATACATATTTATATAATGGTATCAAATTTTGTTAGAATGATTTAAAAGTGTAAATAAAAAGTCTCTTCCTCTAGTCAAGAGGATTTAGCCTGAAAGCAGCCTAGAACCAAGAGCTCGGAGACAGAGGGAATGAAGGCTGAAGATATGCACCCACAAAGGCAAGTAATCGGATACAGAGCCCGACTCCTGGACACAGAGCCTCTGCATAGTACATGCAGAGCCTCTGTGTCTGTTGGGTTTGAGTTTATGTGCTTAATATTGTATTCAATCTTAGTTTCTCCACTGTAATTTTGTATTGTATGTTGTCTACTATAAATAAATTTTGCCTTTGTAATCTTTGTATGCGCTTTCAATCTAGATTCATTGTAATTACTCTTTGAAGTTTAATACAACAATCCTTTGAAGATTCTCTCTCTCAATCACTACTACTTTCAAGTTAAAAATTTGTCATTTTGTGTTCTTGATCTTGAATTGAAAATTGGTTAATCAATTTGGGAACTATTAATTGGTATCAGAGCAGTTTGCAGCGACTTAGTGGTCGGCTATATTGCACACCTTTAGACAAAGGAATTGACCCACAAAGCAAGTATACAATACGGCTCAATATCGTCTTTCCAAGTAATAAAGTGGTACAAGTACCGGATTATCGTCCACGGAGATTGTAGCAAAAGTTAAATGAGAGTCCAATGAAATAGATGATTTCAGATGACGATTTTAAAAACTTCAGTTTGACGTTAAGGTGATTTAAAACAGATCACAGAATGTATAAGGATAGCGAGGGTGTAAGACTTGTGGTGAGATCCAAACACAAATTCCAGCAGCCAATGTTGTAGGAATGCTACAGCAAACAGTGTTTCAAAACTTAGTTCCACTATCTATTTTGAAGGTATTCCTCTCGGACTTCACAATTGCACTATATTATAGCTTTCAACTCATATCTCTATGTGGTATGCGGACCAGGGATGGTGACAAAATGGTGTTTTCAAAATATATGGATAAACAAATCTCTTTGTTAAAAATCACTTTCTCGAGTCGATTCCCATATCATTCAAGTTGGCGTGACCAACCCGTCGGGAGTTAAATTTGAAAGACATAAATGACAAGTTTCCTTGTCGGCAACTTTCTCAAGTCTATCTCTTATATCATTCAAGTTGACGTGCATTCAATGGTTTATCTCTAAGTCCATGACACTTTAACACTTTCAAAGTGATCAACCCATCAAGAAGTGTACTTGGTTTTTATAAAAACTTGAATGAAACAATGGAACGTCGTTTATGAAAACACTTAGCTACTTTCTTTTGGTTTGAAAATCTCACATTTTCGTCTCACACCTAAGCTATATAAATTTAGCTACTCATAACGGAATGTAAATAACAAGTAAAATGAATGATGGAAAGTAAAGATATAAATGTAAAGAACGGAAAATAAATGACGGAAAAATAAATGACAAGAAAGTATATTGCGGAAAGTAAATAACGGAATGTAAAATGACTAGAAAAAGTAAAGAAGCGTAATATAAAGAACGAAAATTAAAAGACAAGAAATTAAAGATGAAAAGCTAGAACTTGTATTTCTTCCAAATGTGTTTACAAATCAGCATTTGAGAGCTGATTTTAAAGCTTAGAGTCATTTCCAAAAGTGAAACCAAACCCCTCCTTTTATACACAAAGGAGCCACAAAAAGACAAAAGGACTAATCTTGGGGACTAAGCTTCCTAAAACTAACTTTAAAGTACAATTAGAGGAACTAGATAGTACAATATTCCTAACAAGAGTTTTAATCACAAATTTTAAACAAAAGTCAGCCTCTCCAGCTGTCTTTCACAAAACACAAAAAGGCAACGGCTTAATCAATAAGTTCTTCAAAAAGTCGCGCATGTATCAGATCGTCGTTGCTCCAACGCTGTAGCATCAAGCTGTTAAACAAAAACTTCCATTAGCTTCCTCCTTGAGTACCAACAAGTTAACTACATAATTTAGCTCCATAATAACAAAGATACACATAAAGTAATAAAAATGACTCAAAGTATGGATAAAAGGAAAATAATCTAGCTAAGAATAAGTAAAAACGGGTGCTTTATATATTGAATTCTCAACATATATCACTTAGATTGAATCAGAAACCAAAATCGGATTGAATTGGATTGTTCTTGAAATTGATCGCACACTGTTCTTGACTGTTTAATTATGTTTTTATTCAATTTCTTCATTTCTGTGTGAATTGATCTGTATAATTGATTGAATTGAATGTGTTTTGTGATTAGAAACATAATTGAATTGATCTGTTGATTCAATTTTGGATTTTTGCATTTTCGAGTTCTTGAATATGTCCATCTTGATTTTATCAAATTGTTTGAATTTGATTCGTTTTTGTTCTAAATTGGCATTACAATTCTGTTTGTGGTATATTTTCGAGTTGCTAAGACTAATAAGTTGGTTAGTAGACTTAACAATGCAAGGTAAAACAGTCTTAGACACAAATGACCTCTTATTACAAACAGAGTTTTGAGAAGACTTACCATCAGTATTCTCAACATCAGATTTCTTCATTCAAATCTTTTTCATTCTTTGAAAATGATTATCTGATTCAATCACATAACTTTTGTAGACCTAATTTGGAATACGAGATTTGTTCTTTGAAACAGTTGATTTAGAACTACTTGAATAACTGTTGGATTTGACACTACAACTGTCATTCAATCAGGTTTTACACTTAGAATGAGAATCAGTTGAGCTTGAAGTACTTGATTCAGAAAATTCTTTTATTTTCCTTAGCAACTAATCTCTCTTTTCAGTAACTAAATCATGTTTCTTTTTAAACTCAGATCTCATATTCATTTCAGATACAAGATCAGTTTCTAAATTAGATAATTTCTTTGAAGTTTTAGAAATCTTACCTTCCAGAGCTGATTTTTCTTTTTCAAAGCTTTTTCTTTCCTTTTCAAATTCTTTCATTTCTTTCTTAAAACTTTCTTTCTCATTATCAGAAGCAATGTCTAACAATTTATTTTTCTCAGTTAATTCCTTAGCTATTGTTGCATTCTTCTTTGTAGTATTCTTTCTTTCAGTAGCAAAGGATTTTCTCTCTTCAACCAAAATCTTCTGCCTAGATTCAATGCTCTTAGAAATTTCCAGACATTTCTTCTCCGACTCTTTCATTAAATCTTTCTTCTCATTCTTAAATTTGATTCTTTTCAAAATAATTATCTTTTCAAATCCAGATATTTGTTCAGAAAGCTTTGCATTATTTATTTCAAGAACTCTAATTTTGCTTTCAAAATCAGCTTCAGAAAACCTTTCCATTTCCTTCTCAATTCCCTTTCTATTAGAATTCAGACTATCAGACTCTAACAAATTTTCCAGTTCAATTAATCTTTTACTTTCCTTCTCATGAATTCTTCTTTCTAAATTTAAAGCTCTCTCAGCCTCATAAACCCTTAATGTCAGTTCAAAATTTTTCTTTATCTGCTCAACGTTCCTTTCTTGGAAATCAGATAGACATAAATTCATCAATTTCTTCCTTTAAGAGCTTATTTTCTTCAAGAAATTGCTCATTTTCTTTAACCAAATCTTTTGTCCATCAAAGATTCGAATGGTTTTCATAAAACATTTCAACATATTTGTCTTGTTTCTTTTTATATTTCTTTTCCAATTCAGTAATTCTCCCTTTCAATTCCCTATTCTCTCCTTCAATCTTTAAAGCCATTTCAAATACTTCAAAATTGATTGATCACACTTTGATCTTTATACAGTTCAAGACTTAGAGAATCCAAAACAAACTCTTATCGAACAAACAAACCAACTTTATTGGATACAAAGTAAATCTCCCAAACGACGTTATCGGACAACTTATTAGTCAAAACACCTTATCGATCAACTCACTTTATCAATCACCACTTTATCGATAACATCCTCTTATCAGACAGACATTATCCGATAACAATCCTTATCGGTCAACACGATTATCAAATATATTTTGACATGATACAACTTCTTATCGAACAACATTTATCCGATCAAACTAATCTTATCGCACAAGACTTATCAATCCACAAATCACAACTAATCGGTCAACAAAGATATTCAACAGGTGATGATTGAGTCTTATCGCGTGATGAACATGTTCATCAGGCGATGATTGAGTCTTATCGCGTGATGAACATGTTCATCAGGCGATGGAAGATACTGTTAGTGAAAATACAGAAATCAATCCAAAACCACTCAAAATTACACCAAATTGAATAAAATCAACACAGATCGATTCGCAGGATGAACACAAACAAGTTTTCAAAACCAATTCATACCAAAAACAGATCAAATTGATCAGTTTTAATGAAAATCACCCAAACAGTTCAAGAACACATCAAGAACTCAAATCACCAAAAAAAAAAAAAAATTCAAACTTGATCCTTGAAATCGATTCAATTTTGAAATTGAATGATTCAAAATGATTCCAAATTAAAATTCACGTAAAATTCAAACAATCAAACACTAAAATTCATACAAAATATGAAAATTCGATTAGAACGGTGAGTAAAAATGATACAATCAATAACTGTCCAAATTCTAGTCCGATTCTGGTTCAAATTAATCCAACTCAATCCCTCTAAGTCGTTGTAATCTGCTCTGATACCAATTGGTAATCCCAGATTGGATTAACCAATACACAATTCTTGATGATTCAAGATCAACAATCAAGAACACTACTAAGATATACAAAGAGAGTAGAAATCTAGAGAGAGAAAAACTTTTAGCGCCAATTGTATTCAATCAACAATTACAAAGTAAAATCTTACAATAAGCATCTTATAAAACAAACATTAAAGCACGCTATATATACAACAAGATAAGCACAAAAGCATAAACTTTGGATACAAAAATTTAGGTGCAAAACTTGGACCTAACAAATTGACCATCGGGAATCGTTTGACTAAAAGGGTCCTAATCGATGGTGGAAGCTCAACAAATGGTGACACTGTCAGTAGACCAAGTTCAATGTCATGGGAATTGACGATAAAGAAATCGTACTACGTTCGACCATATTAGTTGGCTTTAATGGTGACACTGTATGTAGACCAAGTTCAATGTCATGGATTGTCGTGTCCGCATAAAATGTTATCCTCAGACGACCGTGGATCCATGAAACAAAATCATTGCCTTCGACGTACCATCAAACCATAAATTTCCCAACTTTATGGGGAATCCAAGAAATAAAAAACAAACAAAGAACTGCCCAAGAATGCTACAAAATGTCTATGAAGCCACAAAAGGGCAACATCTAGCAATTATAGAACCAGGAACACTTGGATGAGATCGATGATTTGCAACTGCAAGAAATCATCCTCAATCCAACCACCGGTTTGAGAATCAAAAAAATTGTAAGATCCCATTTTTTTACTTTCAAATATCTTGAAATGAATTTTTATCGAACATGAAAACTAAACTGTAACGTGATATAACGTAAGAGATTGAAAGATTTCGTATGAAAAAGCACCAAAATCCCTTCTATTTATGCTAAAAATAAAGGGCAAAAATAAAAGACCTCAAATGGTGCCAAAAAGACACAAAAAGAAACGGCCAAATGGCAAGACTAGTTGTGGATCGACTTAGAATTTGAATGGCTTAGTTGGTTGGGTTGACCGGTTGCTTACCTGACCCGATAGATTAAGGCCTCAACTAGTTATGTGTTATGATAACGTCCTATTTTTGTTAACCAAGACTCGTTAAGCAAACTGTTCCGGTTTGCCAATGTCTACATGTATATCAAATTAAACTACGATTTTCGTCCATGTGGTTTGTTGTTTATGATCATTTTCGTCCTTGGTTTCTAAAAATTGCTTTTTTCGTCGTTGTAGTTTTTATTTTTTTTGTTTTTCGTCCCTAAGACTAATTACGTTAAAAATAATTGTTAAATCAAGGGCAAAATGGTCTTTTACAATAAATTTGTTTTTCTTATTTATTTGTTAAATATTTTATTGTTATGTAAAAAACCACGTCCCTTAAATATCCACTCAAGTGGATCTCTCCACTCCCAAAACCCTTCTTCTCCAACAAAGCATAAAAACCCAAGAGATTTCCTCCCTGCCATCATCAGGGATAGACTCAGCATAGTGTCACCGTATTATTTCTTTGTCGAAGGGTAAAAAAATTCAATTCGTGAAAGATGTATCTGTGTTAATTTGTTGTGTGCCATCGTATGTAATTTGAAACTACAATGAAAACAAGTTTTATTTGATAGAGTTGGTTTGCAAAAGCTTTTCTTCCACTCTAAACCCGAGTTCAAATCCTGTTAGTGTCATTTTCTTAGTCAAACGGTGCGACCGTTTTAATTTTTTTTTCTCTATATTTGTTTCTTATAGTCAAATGGTACCACTGCTTGAATTCTTTTCCTTATATTTTTTTTTCTTGTAGTCAAATGTTTCTTATAAAAATTTATTCTTTTATAAATTATGTACCAACTTGTATATAATAATAAGAGTAAGTTATGTTTTTAGTTCATGTGGTTTGTTGAAAATTTCTATTTTTGTCCTTACGGTTTTGAAATTATGATTTTCATTCGTATGGTTTATAATTCATTTTCTTTATACTTAAAAGTAATGTTTTGACCTCAAGAGATTAAAATAAAAATGAATTGCAAAATATAGAGACAAAAATCAAAATTTCAAAACCACAAGGATGAAATCCGTAATTTTTAACACAACATAAGGACGAAAAACGTAATTTAATCTAAAAATAATATATCATTTAATAAATATATAAAGAAAATGAGAATATATTGCCCTTGATTTTACCAAACTTTTTAACAGAGTTAACATCAGGGAGAAAAAACGAAAAAAAATGAAAAAACCAAAGTGATGAAAAAACCAAAGTGATGAAAAAACAAATTTTTAAAAACTAAAGACGAAAATGACAAGAAACAACAAACCACATGAACAAAAAATCGTAGTTTACTCGAATAGAAATTTTAATTAATTTGTAAAAATGTATAACTGATATACAATAAAATAAAAATTATTATAAGACGGAATAAAATTAAAAACCAAAACAGTTTTAAAAAATAGTGGAAAAATTTTCAAACTTCCAACATGTAAATGGTACTTGGGCGAAGCAAATCTTAATCGAGCCTATATTTGCTCGATGGATACAATTTGTTCATGTTAAAACTTCAAATAGGTTCGATATATTTTTATCTTCAGCGAATGACTCAACTTCTAGAAGAGACATAAATAACTGTATTGATCTTGGTAGCTATGCACTATCAATAAGCTGCAACCACTTTCTGTTAACTTAGAGGAATACACATCAAATTAAGGATACATCTTTTTAAGACCCCTAGATAAAATTCCATTGCGTCCACATGATAGAGCGGGGGCATGGCACCCCCTAGGCTATTACTAAATCCGCCCCTGGTCCTAAGCCCAGGGCGGAATGTGCATCTATAGAGAGACATTGGTTCGGCTTGCAATTAAGCTAGTTTTCTACCAATCGATAATACTTCTCACATGACTCGATGAAGATATCGGACACAAATTGACTACTAAAGCACCCTTAAGTTGGGTCACCAACGGGATCCTTAAACAAGGGCTTCAGGCCATTGGGATTAGATGTCGACCTTGATGACCGCTATTAGCATCAATCATTTGACCAGCCCAGTCCATGCTAGCTGCTAACCGGACTTTGAGCTTGAGAAAAAGCCCTAGGGGAGGATTAATGATCTTAAGCGGTCCTTAGACGATCCCAATCTATCCTAGTCCTTGGCCAATCCATCTCTTAGCTCTAGTTACACCTTCAAATGTGTATATCACTCGAATCCGACACAATAAAACCAAATGAAACCAAACAAGCCAGTATGTCCCACCTAGAGGTGGGGGCAGAAGGGAGACCTGCACTTTACCCTAAAGAATAGAGCAGCTATTTTCCATGAAGAAGCCGGACTAGTGAAAAGTGTGTGAAAGGAAAAGATACAGAAAAGCTAAAATTTGAAAAGCTGAGTAAGCGATAGCAATACAAATAGAAAGCAAGAAAGACATATATGCTAAATTTGGGAAATTAGAACTAAGATCCAACAGAATGACACATCTACTATCTAACCAGAACATAACGAAAACTAAATTATGATACGAATCGCTTCTCTTTTTCATAAATTAAAAGGTTCTAGTAACATAAATCTACGAGCAGTGTTCAAAACAAAAACAATAATGGACAAATGAACGAAAGAGTTCCTGAAACAATCCATATCCATGTGTTCGTATTTCTCTTACACCAACTAAATCTGGCGTTCTAATCTTCCTTGTGGGCAGACAGACGTGCGTTATCAGCAATGGTGGTTGAAGCGCTTGCAGAGCGGTACTGAGTACCAGTCGTTAATGGTTCCTCTTTTCCAATGGTAGCAATAAGAAACATCACGGCAATCAGAAACACAATGATGTAGACAGTTCTCATACCAATAAGTGAAGTAATATAGCCGAAAAATGAAGGGCCGAGCTGCTTCTGTATAACCTTTCCCTCTCTGAATCTTTCAAGAAAAAGTGTGATTTGGGATCCTTGATCCTCACTGTGAATGCTTTCTGAACCGATAACCTAATAGCAACCAGAAGATGGAAGAGTTCAGTACCTAATCTTTGCTACACTCGGGAACAAAAATGGACCAAGACATTGTTGCAAAAGTAATAACGATATCAAAAAGGAAAATGCATTCTGGCAGAATGTAATCATGACCGAGGTGCAAGAGAATACGTTACAAGCAAGGAAGCAAATTAGAGAACGAATGCATACTCACATTATTGAACAAGCATTTAAACTAGTTACCCTAAAGAAGTACGGCAAGCAGAAAATTAAATAAATACTAGTACCCTAAATGCCTATAATCAAGTCAAGTTTCACAATAAATTATGCATAAATTTAGAACTTCTAATTATTAAAATTTGCGGGGTTGGATTGAGATCGGGATCATGTGAGACCATCCACTTTTCGTGATACCCATTAGACCACTGTGAAGGTTCGTTGTGTTTTTCATGTGCAGGTTGTGAAGGTTCAGTGTTTTCTTTTAAAGGTTGGTGTTTTTAATATGTTGTGAACGTTCAGGGAGGTAATAAAAATTGAACGCATATAGGGGCTCCAAAGTGGTCTCCATGTCTCATGAAAGTGGGCGATCTCACATGATCTCAAGTCGGGGTTTTGCAATGATCACATATACTCTTATGATAATGGAGCAATTGTACTTGAACTAGTTTCCATACTAAAAGTACCAGCATTTATATGATAACTCGATATAACATAAAGCTATATACAATGAAAGAATGTGAAAAGAATCAGAGAAGTCAACAATAGAGATGTTTCTACCATTATGCCAACGATCCAACCAACTTGGCAGAATTGTCAAGTTAACCACTGAACTATGTGAGGCTATCCATTTTGTCATCAGTACTATATTATGTCAGAAGAACTATTCACCCTGAACATATACCAAATAGGACAAGTGAGCCGAACACAACCACAAACAAAATCCTCACAACCAAAAGGGCCATTGGCCCAGCAGTACATGGTAACCCCTCGGAGATCAGGGGTTCAAGTCTTACCAATGACGAGAAGTGTGTGCCTGAGTTCAAATTTCCGCTTATAGATATTATATACTTCAAAAAAATCCCAACAGGCTGCTAATTCTACTCTTTCCAACAGTCAGGAAGAGTGACAACTGCAACAAATATAGCAGAAAACTAACAGGTTTAGGCATAGGATGGTGGGAGAGAAAGCAGCAACACATATTTTTGTACAAATGGTAGCATTGAAATTTTCACAAAATCATTATAGGCTGGTTTTAACTTTTAGATTACAATTTGTTCAGTATAACATCAACGAAACAAGATTCACAATTTACAGATCAATACTACAACCAACACATCCAGAAACTAGTTGTAGCAGCAATCTTAATCTTTATATCCATGTCACAGATGCCAGATCTATTTTCTTGGAACGGTTCGCAATGTCAGGCATATTGACATATAAAGGCAGTTCATTTTATGAAAAAATAAAATAAAATCGAACTTGAAGAATAAGAGAGACAACATCCACCAAGAAAACCTCAACCACCGATAAATCAATCAAAGACCCCGAGGACCTGTAAAGTCAGACACCCATGTTATAAGTATCAAAAGACGACTACCTTCCAGCCAATACCAGAAATGGGAACTTCAGCAAGAGTCCCCACTGCAAGTGACAAAGATTCAGCTCGGCCACTCAGGATACAGAAGTATATGGTCCGAAGGGATAAATAGTCTTCACACTTGGTCCTATTTACAGACAGATAAGGATATCAACTATTTAACCCTCCTTTAAACTGTTTTAAGTTCAAAATTTTGGACAAGTCCCTAGGTACAAATCACAAGCATCAGCAACCTCCCAGAAAGGGAGATATAAGCTCCAATTTTCATGCATGCCCACTGGTAGGTCTCTAAGTTTCAAAACATATACAGTTTACAAATACCCAGTGGTGGATCCAGGAAGTTAATGGGGATGGGGGCACGTAACAAGTATCGTATCGCTAAAAGTAACCTAGGTTGAGAGATAATATGCTAGACGTTTCCAGTTAAAGATTCTCCTCCAGTACTGACAATATTGGATCCATATGTTGATAATTTTTTTCCGAAATTCTTTCTATTCTCTAACAAATAAAAAATTAGCAAATGCTTAATTAATAGTTGTTTATCTTATTACCTACTTAAAATTCTACTACATACAACAGTACAAGTCTACAACTTGTTTCAAAACATAGCATTATAGAAAATTACAAACCTACAATGAAGGTTAAGTTGTGGTTGTCTACAACAAGAAATCAAAATTACAAACCTACAAACAAGCACAAAACAACTAAACATAATAGGGAAATATAGAATCAAAAAAATATAGAACATACGCAAAAAGTCAAATAAATTTCGAACAAAAATATATAGAAATCGAAACCTCAAAATTCTGGAAAAAGTATATAGAAACGAAAAACTCTAACAAAACAATATACAGAAGGAATATAAAACAATATGTGATCTAGAGAGATTGGGGTTGGGGGATCTTTGTTTACATTGGATGGGACTTGGGGGACGGAAAGCATATGGCCATATGGGACTGGGGGGAAACCATGTAAGATGAGGGTGAAAATAGAAAATTTAAGCTAGTCAACAAAGGTTTTTGGTTTTTGACTGGGGGCC